CCACGTCTGTCAATCTCAGAGCTACGAAGTCAATAAACTCGATGCCTTGCCGATGCCGTGGCTGTGGTCTTCTTCCTAGCGCAAAAGGGGTCAGGGCACGCGTGGTTCGCGACAAAAAGTAAACAATTAAAACGGCACTTGGGCGGGCGAGAGGTTGGCGGTCGACAGCTCAAGTGTTATGTGTGGGAGAGTGGGTGGGTGGGAGGGTGGGTGAGTGGATGGGTGGATGTCTGTGTGCGTGCGCATATTTATGACTTTTTGGAGGTTAGGAAACGCGTACGCGGCCGGGGCTGAAGAACGAAAAAAAGGCCCGAGCTTTAACGAAAATAGAGAGAAAGTACGACCGGGTCGAGCGAGGGGCAGAAAAGGGAAGAGGGGGGGGGTCGCATCGCGGAGGAGGCGTTGCAGGAGGTCGTGACAATGTCGCCAAGGCGCATCTTCTCGCGGATGCAGCGCTAGTGTTCGCTCATAATATATAAGGAGTAGTCAAGAAATGTAACATTTCTCGTGAGGAGCAATTGTATCAGTCGCCTATCCGTCGAGAAATGCCTCTCATTTTTCTTTCGTTGTCTTTGAGCACAAGGGTTGATAACCGATGAACAACAATTCGAATGGGGGTGGGGGGCGTAGAGGTAGTGAAAACAGTTAACGAGCTAAAAAGGATGAGGTAGAAAGTGATAATCGAATAAAGTCGAGGAAATCGACATAAAATGTGAGGAAGATTGTCGAAGCTATTAACCGCGCGTATACTCGTATTCGCAGTCTCGGATGTCCTGGTTATAGATGTTCCAGAGGCGTAGTAGCTACGATAAAGCGGAGGATCACAGAACCGGTGAGATAATCGGTAGAAGGATATGAAGAAGACAGCCCCTCATCGCATTAGCCGTGTGGATATTGAGCATAGCGAGCCTTACACTAGTCCATAATAGTTGTTCGGTGTCTCGGTGTGCACCAGCAAGAGCTGGGTTGACAGTAGTAGCAGCAGCAGCAGCAGCAGCAGCAACAACAACAACAGCAACAACAATAACAACAACACCAGCAGTAGTAGTAGTGTTGTTCGGTGTCTCGGTGTGCACCAGCAAGAGCTGGGTTAGCAGCAGCAGCAGCAGCAGCAGCAGCAGCAGCAGTAGCAGGACCACCACCACCACCACCACCACCACCAGCTTCGGTTTTGTTACACTCCACAAGTGTAAAGCCACGTCCCGTCGAGCGCGCACTCTCGATTATCTAAGAGTAGTGCTGGTACAAACTGAGCTAGCGGCAACGCCGTCGCCGCCGACCTCGTCGCTGACTCCTCGCGCTTGCAGCTTCATTGACATCGCACGTGCCACCGTCGTCGCCGTTGCTGCCGCTGCCCTTGTGGCTTCAGCGCTTCCTCTACTTGCACACGCACTCCCGACAGTGGTCGCGCACCACGGTGACGACGTACCTCCCCACAACTATAACCTAAAAAAAGTTGCGAAAGAGAAGAGATACCATCCCCGATAACGCTACCGCCATACACGCCACTACCGTCACCAACACCACTACCACTGACACCACACCACTACCAGCACCACCTTCACCGTCAAAAGTATTCTCGTCCTCGTACTGGATGTCCTAGGCGCAGTAGCAATCTCAAACTCAGTTGCGGTCGTATCCCTCTTCGTAATCGTCGGCGTTGTTGTTGTCGTTGTTGTCGCCGTCGATGTCGATGTCGCTTTTGCCTGGTAGGTCTTCATTAGCAGCGTTCGTACGAGCGGGGACAGTCACGCCGACGATACCAAGAGGGGCCGCGAGTCGCTCGACTTCTACCGAACGAATGACGCACGTAAGGGGCGGCGAGGGAACGGGAAGGGGTGCGGCGGTCGGTCGTCGACGCGAGGGGGAGAGCACGGGTGCGCAGAGGCAGACAGAGATCGAGAGATGTAGTGTGCGCGCGTGTGTGTGCATGAGATAGAGAAAGATAGAGAGAGAGAGAGAGAGAGAGAGAGAGAGAGCAAGCGTGACGGACAGTCGGGCAAGTACGCACGCATACAAGTATGAGGGTGCGCGCTCTACTTTCCAGCCGGACCCGGGTACGGGCGACGGAAGTGCGGAAACTCGGCCCAAGCGACGGATCCGCTCGGGTTTATCGGCAGGCCAACGTTCTCCCTAGATATTTATTGGCAGGCCGACGTTTATCCCTAGATATTTACCCATTTGTCACGGAATCGGCCACTCGAACTGCACCGACACTCGACTGACTGCTGCTGTTGCCTCTGCCCCCACCTATTACCACATACAGACATCACACTGCCAGCGGTGAACCAGTGTACACGCTCCTTACGTTTTTCAACATGGCGATTATAATATCGCGTTGCCGCTAGCGTTGCTGCTAGTGCTGCTGGTGGTGCTGCTGGTGGTGCTGCTGCTGGTGGTGCCGCCGCCGTCGCCGTCGCTGTCGCCGTCGCTGTCGCTATCGCCGTCGCCGCCACCGCCACCACCACCGCAACCGCCGTCGATCGCCCTCTTGCTCGCACTCGCGAGCTGGTCGACGTAGAGCGCGGCGTCGAGGCCGCGAAACCACGGCGCTGGCGTCGCGTTCGGCTTTTTAACCGCGCGCTACTGCACCGCTACCTCGGTGTGATCACGGCCTCGCGTCCCGTACGTTTTTCGTCTATGGCCGTGTGCGTGGATGACGTTGGTTTGGCGGCTTTGACTATTTTACCGTCAAACCTCCGTACTTTCAGTCTCGAGGAGCAGCAGACCGTTACTATGACGGGTGTACGGCTGGTATTCGGGGGTCCCGGGACTCCCCCGACTCGAGGCGCCTATCCAACTTCGTCTGCGACTTTCCTAGTACTCCTGCCGCTTCCCCCATTCTTGATCTTTCATCCATCACCGTTTTTACTTGTATTTTTTGAGCGAGTGCCGCGGAAATCTCGTGACTTTTGCTCGACCTCACGCTCCGCGATCTTTAAATAGATTTTGAAACGCTTTTTTCTTACGCTCTCCCCTCCCCCTCGCCCCACCCGCCGTTTAGCCTTTTTTTCACTAACAGCTTATATACCTTTCACAACACACATTGGCCGCTTGAAAAATTTACCGCTACGCTTGCTTCAGTGTACTATATATATATGCATGTATTTATGTATGTATATACGTATGCATAATATATTTATGTGTGTTTATATATATACGTCTCTCTCTTTTAACTAATATAGTAGTTTTTTTATACCCTGAGTGAATTTTCATTCCGATACTTTCAATGGCCATTGCCCGAATACTACATATGAGACAAATTTACGCGAGGCAAATGTGGAATGTTGAATGTGAGAAGGTGTTTATTAGTTCATTACGTCAGTACCACAAGTATAAAAAAAAATAAAACTACAAATAAGTTTGTTTTCAAATTCTGTAATTTCATAATCAGCTCAATTAGACGAATTTAGAAGAGACTCCAATTATTCGAGTGCATAATATTTTTGCAGCAGCTCTTCGTAGATATCTATGTCATTTTTCATGTAAAGACAAAATATCACTCGGTGTATCTGAAATAAAAATGATTATTTTAAAGGGGTATCGAGGCGCTGATAAATTAAAATTAAAAACTAATGAGCATACTATATCTGGATTTTCTAACAAGAATTTTTTAACAGTGCTTAATGCTATCGTTGCTGCGGCCTTCGGTGGATAGCCATATATTCCTGTTGCTATGCAAGGAAATGCAATTGAACGAAGACCATTGCGTTGTGCCAAGTCAAGACTGTTTTTGTAGCAGTCCTGTAGATTCTCGGGTATTTCTTCTCGCGGTCCCACAGTTTGTATTACATCTAAAATATTATCAATGGATGTTTCTCGAATTTAATGTAAAATAAAAATTGATAATTTATCTTAATAAAATTACATTAAATTTACATACATTTAGCTGGCAATCTGTAGCCCCCGGTTAATTTAGCTTCTCCAATTCGACAACCACCTAAAGTTGTACACTCTTTTTGTAAATATGGTCCTGCTGCTTTATGAATGGCTCCATCAACTGTAATGCAACAAAATATAACCATGACTCAATAAGAACGAAGGAATAAAATAAAAATTTTAATTAATGATAAACTTTAATGTGTATACCTCCTCCACCTACGCAGAGAAACGTATTTGCGGCATTGACAATTACATCGACCTCCAGCTGACATATATCACCTCCCCAAATTGATATTTTATCAGCTAATCCTTTACTCACTTTTTCTACACTTTCTTCTGGTGAAAGTTTAGCCATAGTTAATTTATGTGTTTCAAAGTAATCTGGCCATGTCAATATTTGCTCGATAGTCTTTGGAGTTCCCTTATAAAGTTGTCTCCTCTCATTCAGTGACATTGACAGATATTTTTCTACAATGTTAGACTTGTAATGATTAAGTTACATATAATACAAAATATTAATACTTAGTATTAAAAATATTCAATTTACTTTTTTCAGCTTCAAACGCCATCCTTCTATTGTTGTTGGCTCTTGATTCAAAAAACCTTTTGTTTATATATAATCCAAAAGAGTTTCTAAAGCTTAAAAACCTTTTAATTGAATATACTGCCTAAAGAAGTAACACAGAATAAATAAACCGGCCATTCATATTTTTGGTACTTGTATTTATTTGGAAAAACTAATCAAAATAACCTCGATTATAATTCTGGAATCGAGCAATGAGATTTTGTAATTTTATTCTTAATAATTCCTGATAAGATTTATAATGTGATTGTATTTACATATTTCTATATGCCTGCTTTATATTACAACTAAAATGGAATTATTTATTTGTGAGTGAACAGTTGACTGCGCGAAAAATTAGTACGGTTTATGCAAAATTGCAAATAAATCTAGATGGCGATAGTAGTGCAAATTTATGTTTGGCACTTGATAAGTAACATGTCTGCACACCTTGTTTATATTAAAATTATTTAATTGCTAATAATACGTTATATCGGCGTATATATTGCATATGCTTATATTGGAGAGGTCTCGTGAGAGAGAGAAAGAGAGAGAGAGAGAGAGAGAGAGAGAGAGAGAGAGAGTGAGAGAAAGAGAGATGATAATTCAAAATACTTAATTACAATATAATGGTCACTTACCACCGATTTTAACGCTATCTTTGCTGTCATACTTTTAATTAAATCATTTCAAAATTTAATCTTCATCTATTGCATCTATGCGCAATTGTGTGTACGCGTGAGTTCACACACGCAATTTTTTATTAACCGAATAAACGTGCAACCATGCGAATAATATTACATGCGTGCATATAAATTTTTATACACATATCTTTAACAATTTCTTCTATTTGGTTTTTCAGAAATGAAGAAGAATTGAAAAACGAGTGAAAAATTATGGCATATGAAAATCATTTAAGTACCAGAATTATATAGAAAGTATCATTATCAGTTGTAGATATAACACCCCACGCGGGTGCCAAATGCCTACCATCGATGGCAGCACGTGTCAAATACTGCAGTGTACGACGATATGTCGACAAAATTCTGACAAAATTACGTCAAGCCTGCCATTCACGATATTCCAAGTTAGCCCTGCCTGCTGCCATGAATGCAGAAAGCATACGGAAACCTAATGAAATGCAATAGATGTCGACACAAAGGCTCCAGGACTCCAGGCTAACTCCTAATACAGAATAATGACGAGAAAATATAATATATATATATATTGTGTAGTGGTAAAGGGTCTCTCGGATTGTGCCTCAATCCATAAATACAAATATTGCTTTTCAAAAATTATGCTCAAGATAATTATCTCAATTCAAAAACATATATACATTACAGATTTAAAATTCTAAATTAAAATGTTTCAAAATGTCTATCTTGTTCTATTATATGTCGGCAATTATCATAGCAATCTGTATTAAATTACATTCTTAAACACCATTGTTACTAAAAACAGAACGATTCTGTGATTTACAACATGTTCTAAATAATCTTTATTGAGAATCCAGTAATATATCATATTAAACATTGAAATATCTTTGAATTTTATGCCTTAGCATAATCAAAAAAAAAAAAAGTAAATAAAATATATATCCGTTGATTTGATATAAATTCATAGTTTAGCAATTATAAATTTCTATCATATTATCATAATTATGTGCTTGTAAAATATAAAAATTTTCGAAAATTAATATGTTACTTAAAAAAAAACTATATTAGTTAAAAACGTTATCATTAGCTAAAAGTAAAAGAAATATTTATTGATCAAATTATTTAATAAATATTATCCATATCCCTAGATTGGCTGAATTATACAAACTGGGATTAAAAATATGAGTTTAAAATTGGAGTAATTGTGAAAATTTTTTTTCAAACGTGATATATTATCAACTTGTGTATACTTTAAATTATTGTATCCATAAAATGAAAATTCCATATAACAATTTTTAAAAAATTAAAAGGTTGGTATATTCTATTAATTATGAAATGTTTTACGTAATAGTTATTATATAAATGTATCTTTATTTATGTAATATAAGGTTTACTCCAAATTAATAGTTGAAATTTGTGATTTTCTGAAGATGGATTGCAAATTAAGAAATTAAAAAGATTTTTAAATTATATATTGCAAAATTTATATTTTCGAAAAAATAATATAGGTTCAGTTTAATCTATATATTTAAAGTTAATATTTGCAACAAAATGATTTGCTTTACTGTTTAACAATTGTAAATTTCTTCGATAATTTGAATAAATAATTTCACATTTTGTTTTTACTTCGTAGTAGATAAAACGAATGATAATAAACTAAAATAATATATTAATGCAATAATTTCACAATAAGTAATTACACGATAGAGGAATTTAAAAACACAAATATTGTTAGGAGTCAATTGCAGTCATACGCTTCTTGAATTTACAAAACTGTAATTATATAATACAATATTTATAATATTTGAATAATTGCCTGTTTTTTTTAAACATAAAATATTTATACGAAAAATTTATGCTACTATTATGCTATTCAATATTTATAGTATTCAATATGTCATTTGATAATCCATATGGAAACTCAGAAACATTTTTTAAATAAATAATCATTAAATTATTACGAATTTGTAAATAATTTCAGATATATCTTGGAGATGCATGCCATAGAACTTTAAATTTGTATGAGCAAGGCACATTGATCACCAATCATTTTTTAAGCAATCCTTATTGATGGAGGGTATTGGTAGGAGAAAGACAGAATGTAAAATGTGGCAGGAAGAGGATGACAAACATAAATGACACGGAAGTTATTCCTAAAGTGTTATTCCTGAATATCCACATTCGCCTTAGTAACCCCAATAATCCATTGCTCTTTCAAGAAATCATTAAATTATTATGAAATAATATTCTTAAATTTATAAATATTATAGAGTTTTATGTTACATGTGATTCGTTTCAAAAGTTGATTTTTCAACATTTGCATTCGTGTAATATTCAATGCAAAAATGATTGAAATAAAATTTACCGTCGCTCAATAAACAGAAGAAGAAGCTGCCAATATACTGCGACAAAAATAATATTGTAAAATTGATAAATTGTAACTTTCTAAACTTTATTAATTTTTTACAAAAAATAGTAAAACTAGCAATATACTTCAGATGATATTTTAATTACAGTCTACATTATCAACTGTCATTCATCTATTAAATTTATGCCGTTAGAAAATGTCTTACGTCGTATAATAAGTAATTCAAAATTACTTAATCCATAAATGTTTTTCTTAATCTTTAAGCTATTTTATGATTTATACGATATGTACTGTCACAGACACTATATATGTCATGTAAAAGCAATATTTGTATTTATGGATTGAGGCACAATCCGAGAGACCCTTTACCACTACACAATATATATATATATATTATATTTTCTCGTCATTATTCTGTATTAGGAGTTAGCCTGGAGTCCTGGAGCCTTTGTGTCGACATCTATTGCATTTCATTAGGTTTCCGTATGCTTTCTGCATTCATGGCAGCAGGCAGGGCTAACTTGGAATATCGTGAATGGCAGGCTTGACGTAATTTTGTCAGAATTTTGTCGACATATCGTCGTACACTCGCAGTACTTGACACGCGCTGCTATTTTGATTTATTCTTAAATTCATAAAACGGGTGGCGAACAATGATTATTCAATTTTGTAGCCAATAATATTAAATTATGTCAATAACTATGCTTATAGATAAAAAATGTACGAGGAATTTAAAAAAATGTATGAACTTAATGATTAGTGAATTATTCAATAATTGGTAAATTTAGTGATCATCATTTAATTTATTCATATTTATTTAAAATGTAGATGCTAATTATATTGAGAAGAACTAAATTAAAAAGTAATTAGAAAATTTTTGAGATAATAGAATTATAAGTGTAAATCAAAAGTTTTTAAATTCTATAATATTTATAGTAGTAATTTTGGATTTGGTCCTATGAATTAAATTTTTAAAAGTATATGTTGTAAAATAGAATTAATAATATACACATTTATAATAATAATGGAGAACAATAATGGACATAATAAAGTCTTCAATTCTGTATATATGTTATTTATTTTTATATCATTTATCGAAAGCTGATAAATATATTTTTTCATTTTTCATTCTTTTCAAACATCCTTTATTATTCGGAATTGTAAATTAAAAGATAATTAAGTCGAATTTTATCGTAATATTTTTTATAGAGTATTAGATAAAGTGAAAAAAATCATATGTGTGTAAATTAAAATGTTAATATTACATTAATAAAGTGATAAAAGTTATTTTACAAAATATTACGTTATTTAAAAAATCAAAATAATTGAAAATGTTAAGGTAAAAATTGATAGATGTTAATTTGAGTTCTCATCTTGGATAAATTCGTTTTTTGAATCCAATAAATTATGTATTATGAAATAATATAAACGACTTTATTTCTAATTCTATTATTTCATTAATATATATATTTATAAATAATTTAAATGAAACATGGAATTTTTATAAATTTTATCCGAGTATATAAGTTGTTTTTCTTCTTTTAGTCTCTTAGTAGAGTAAGAGCGCAGTACAGTTTTATTCATTTTATGTTCGAAGTTTCAATGTCATATGATGAAAAAATTTCTTTCC